AAAGATAAAACACTGTCTATAGCAGAAGCCATTTAAGAGATTTTGATAGTCAACATATAGGCTCCTTTTATTTGCTGGAGGCAACTCCTAACCGCCTCCCATGTACTTCAGAGCCGCTTGATTGCAGGATTTTAGCCGGTCTGCCTCATAGAAATGGAGATTTATCATACTGGCGGTGCTGAAGCAAGGAGTTCACCCCCTGGATCCACCTGCGTCTCTGGGAAGCGTACAGTCGCTTTGGCTCGCATTTGAATCTCCTATCCACCACCTGAGGAGGAGCCACGTGCCCTCGCGACTATTCAGACTAATCAAGATGAGTGCACTTCGACGTCCGATCTGTTTCGAGAAAGGCCATGGAAGAAATCCCGATTAGTACTCAAGCCTCATTACCCACGATCTTCTACCTCTATATAAAGTAAACAAGGTCAAACACGCGGTCCCACCGATTCTTTTGAGATACGGCATGCTACCCCATCAAAAGTTTAATCGAATAACGCTTGGTGCACACAACAAAAGACCTTAACACATGAAGAACCTCTCACTAGCTCTCATCATTGACTGGGTCTGCTCGTGGTTCGTTATCTGTCAGAATGAAATATTCCTTGTCAGTATTTCGAATAAGATCCAGTACTACCAACCAACCACACGATGACGAGACTCACTGAAGTTTCGCGGAGAAACAAGAGACAACTCTGCCTCTTATTCATCGCTTTGAAGGTTACTTTGGAATTAGATTAAACAGAAACAGTGATGGGAACGCTGGACAACCAGAGCGTCTTCACTCAATGCATAAAGACTATTTCTAAGTTGCACAATAACACATTCAAAGTATCACTATGCTAAAGAATATCACTGACGTAAACAGAGGATAAGAGGCAAGTCGAAACGGTCTCGCCAAAATTATTCTCTATCATTCTCCACATCTTAATACGAACATTGGAATGAAACGACTTAGGAGTCAAATTTGATGCCCGATAATCATAGAATTTTTGCTTCCCTAATGAAATCGTTCTCATAACAACGAGCATCAATCAAACACAATGGATGTTGACCGGCTTCGATAACGCTCCTGAAAAGATTGGTCTCTGACCAAATGTCATGAGAGGGATCTTCACAAGTAGCAGATGTATTGTATATTTCATTCACACACAGCAGATCAGACATCTTCGAATGTTTAAGTATACTCATCTAAATCGGTAGAATAGTACGATGAACGACTTAGATGCAGAGCTGAGGAAAAGGAAGTGAGAGGCCGGACAGCTTTTAAAAGCACCGAGGATGCAATGAAGAGAATAAAAAGCACCTGATTTCCATGCCTAGATTTCCGACTTAGCGACTTGCTTTATTAGTCTATGAGCTGGAAACCTGGTCGTTTCGTAACTAGAGTAAAAGTTCACTTGGCATTGTCGTGTGCACAGTAGAAACGTCAATGCTTGAATCATCCTATCTTGTAAGGAAGAGAAGGTAGCCAAAGTTCTAACAACGTTAGCGCTCAAAAGCCGAAGACGTTGTTTTCGCGCTCCAAACCATTGAATAACGAGTCGAGGATAGGAAATACGTTTCACGTAAACCGACTAACGAGAGCTGTTATTGATTGAATCCTTTCGGAAGACCAATAACCCAATGGTCAAAATTTTCCACCGAGAGTCCAGAGGAAAGAAACTATACTTAGCGACTCCCTACAGCGAGGAGAACCCACTGGGGCACTTTTGTATATTATAAGGAAAAATGGAGGTCTACTGGTGAACGCGTCACTCGACGACGAACCGTATCGGCGTGTGACAGGTGACCGCAGTTTGATTAGAATATTCTCAACTCACTTGCACATATTGAGAAGTAACCTTCAGCGCTGATCTTTGCTAATTAAGTTCATTGGGTGAACTCAATCGTAAACATAAATTCATTTATGTCTTTCCCCAACTGATTGTTCTGGGTGAATCGGCTTGCAGGATGTAACACGCATCCATACATGAACCCATACACGTATAAATGGATAGCATTAAGTATATTCAAAAAACTGAAGCTGCTTGGGCATGACAGAGACAAGGAGTTCGTCCTCAAGTCATTGACGGTTCAGAGCTACAACATGGTCCCTTTTAGCTCGTGTCCCACCTTTATTCGTGTTGTTAATATGATTCACGCAGCCGATCGGTATTGTAAATCCCTGTGTCAAGTGATACACGGCATGCAAAGGTTGCGAAAGAAGGTGAATGAGAGGCAAAGAGTTAAAATCAAGAAACAGCTGCACATAGAAAATACCTGGGAAGGATAATAAAAACCGAAGTCCATCTGAGAGAAAAGAATGGAAAGATTTCTTTCCATTTTTCACTTTAATCGCGATTAGCCAAGTCATCAAGCAGAACCTATTTCTGAATGCAGTTCAGTTTGCCTTTCCTTTTGATTGATACAGACAGAAAGCACGTTTGGTGACGAGGACAGTCATGATTCCAATGAACAAGACGTATGGAAAGACAGAGATATTCGAATGAAGTAGTCACCTTTGCTACTTTTCTGGGAACAGAAAACCGATTAAATCCTCTACTTTACCCCATCAGAACTTAGGTTCACCATCTTTGCGACTTTCAAAACGTATCTTACTTGCCTCGCCTTGTCTTATCTCGGCACTCTATGAGGATGCAGAGATGTGAAGCCAAATGGCAAAGGTGTTAGCACCTATTCCATCAGTGTAATAGATGAGCAGCATAGTTAGCCGAATTTATCAACTCTACTACTTAGAAAATTTTCTATCTCATAAGTTGAGACCACTTACACCAGTTGATTTTTTATTCCTTCAGAGTGGTGAACAGCAGACCGATGGCAGGTCACCGAGAATTAGCTCCATGTAAGTGAAATCTTATGAATGGAATGATTAAATGGCTATCATGAATAGGAATAGGCATATCACTAAATTTTTCTACTATTTAGCCAATACAACAAAACTGGTTTGAACATTTCAATTGGTCAGCGTTTCGACGTCTTCGCCTTCGCAACCGAATTATCCATAGTCGCTCTTCTGCTTTGTCGTCTTTGTCTTCGTTTCGTTTTAAGTCGATCTTCTACAGTAGAACACTACTTGTATGAAGAGCCTCACTTGACGATACTTTTGTATACAGGACGCTTGTTAATAATACATAATGCACGTTTTTAATATTTTGTTTTTTGGACAATGATTTCTTACTAAGATCCACTGTAGGATGGATTGACTGTAAAAACAGAATACTGGAGATCACTCTTATTAGACAACCGCCCTGTATATGAGGGCATCGCCAAGTGAGGTTCTTCATTGGAAGCGATGGTCCACAGGACGATGGACTCGACTTGAGCCACGCTGCTGAGGGTGAACGATTGCTGGCAATTGGCTCGCATCATCGGTCTTGATGAAGACAAAGACATCGAATAGTTAATTGGATGAAATTTTCACATCAAGCTCATGATATTAGCTGAGTAATAAACAAAACTATTGCTGTGTGGTAATGGCGAGGCTATAGGAAAGTCGCTTTCTCACAGTGTTTGTATTTTTTATAGTAATTTTCTAAGTGGGATTTTTTCAACAATCTACAAATTCTAGAGAAAATTACTTACTCTTAAATTAATGCTAAGGCATCAGATGCTCACTGCTACCATGAACTCTTCAGTGTCAGTTGGGTTTGAAGGACATTTGAATAAGATATTATTAGTTATCTGACTGGGTATAAGTAGGTGACCCGGCATTGAAGAGGTCAAATTGGAGCCGAGAGTGATGCCATCATGTCTTTTTCATAAAAGCTGGCCAAAATTACTGAATTATAAACAATTTTTCTGTGACATCAGTGCTCAGTTTTTGTTTCCTTCTCTTCTTTCTATGAGATAAAAAGTGTCAAGAGTGCATTGGATCGATTTCGCAGACATTTGAGACAGAAATATCATCAATTTGAAAGCGTCATCCGCTGACGACGTTATGCTCATTTTTTTACTGTGTTCTCTTCAAGCACAAGTACTATAAAAGAGTACATGGAATGATATGCTATCGTGAGTCTGTCATGGTTGCCAGGACGAGATCGGAAGTGCCTCAGCCTGTTCATTCCGTTCCTGTTCCGTAGTCTTCACAAAATGCTGATGTACATGGCAAATTTTTCCAAGAGCGGCTCTTCTGTGTTCACTGGCAATTAGTGAGAAGCGTCTTCTTGTATCAAGTTAGTGCTGCTATCCCCCCAGATAAGTCTCATACCAAGTTCTGACTCCGGAGAGATGGAAGAGTTTGTGAGTTATAAGCGCGGCATCGAATCATCAACCACTGATTTGATACATGAGTAGGTCGCGATAAGTGCTTTCAGAAAGATATGCATAATCACCTCAGACGCTAAAGTCGAAGACAAACACATGGCGCATCCTCGAGGGATTGATCAACGCCGATACTTTAACTATAATCGTCTTCCTGTTCCACTAAGTCAACAGACATCGTTAGTGCAAATAAAATAAACACTAATACGAATTCAATAACTGAACAGACATCACTTAGCCCAGTACGGATTTTCTGAAAAGAGCCTGATTACTGCTAAATTCAGGTGACGAACCTTTTTATAAAACTATCATGGATATTCTAAGCATATTGTGCTTACTCCCATTAATGAATGACTATTGGAAGTTTCCAGTGGAAGTAGCCAGGAATGGAGGCTGTCAGTTTATCCACTTGTGTTGGTTTTCTATTGCTATTAATGTAGAGAAAATCGTTGTTAAACACTTTTCAGACGCATTCATTTTTCTGTACATGATAATTGTTGTTGTCTTCATTCATCCAATGTTGTGTTTCGTTTTGTTCAAATCACAATCCACACAAACAGGATTAGTAAACGTTTTTGAAATGTACGGACCTGCCTATAAAGGTCAGTCATCATAAATTGGACAAATTCATAACGAGTAGGAAACGATTTAGTCTTCAGATTTCATTTTATTTGACCGCCTGTTGCTGTGGTGTGATGTTATTATAAACCCAATAATGTAGAGTGTTGTAAAAAAACATTTGCGCCAGCTGGGATTCAAACTCAGATTTCGCTGTTTCCGGGAGCGCGTGTTCAACCATTGCACTACCGACGCCCGTTTTGACACCACTCTTTCTACGCTACAACGTGTTATCTGTCAGTAGCAAACCATCTACGGTCTGGAGTGAGCAGACACTATCGACATTGAACCCACTAATGTTGTAGCGTAGAAAGAGTGGTGTCAAAACGGGCGCCGGTAGTGCAACGGTTCAGGACGCGCTACCGTAAAGAGTGAAATGTGGTTCGAATCCTAGCCGACGCAAATGTTTTTGCGCACCACTCTACATTACTGGATTTGGTCTTCAATTATTTTCGAAGAGAACAATTCTGACGACGGATAAATTGCACTAATTTAGGATTTGGTTACGGTTACCTGGTGCTGATTGCTATCTCTCACATGAACATAATGCATGACAGCTCGACTCTTCTCAAGCACCTTCGTGCTTCGTTTAGTGACAATCCTTCAATGTTCGCCTGCATGCAACCTTATGTAGAAAATTGTTAGTAAAAAGCTAGAGATTTTTGATAGCATTTTATTTCACTGCCTTTCAATCAACTGCTTTTGGAAACTGTTTTTTGAACTTCTACATCTTTGAGACATTTTAGCCGTGTCGAGGTTTGCTATGACAGTGGCTTGCATACGTTTGGTAGTTTCGCCCACATCGTCAGAGCCACATCCTACCAGCTAGCCTACACAGTAAGAGAAAAGGAGGCACATAATATGACCAGACATCAAGACAAAATAGACCCTTATATTTTGTGACATAGTAGACCCCTCACATCAGGGAATGACGTCAATCCTCGTGATAGTGTTTCACCACATAAGAAAGAGAGGCATCAGTGAAGCGGGTTCTTAATGTGCCACTACTTGCAGAAACCGACAAGTTTAGCGGCAATCAGATTCCAGGGTCCAACTGCTCTTCTACTTTCCTGGATTCAACGTGTATGGCTGCTAATTCTCGACACGACTTCTATTCTGAAGGAGCCTGCTGGCAGGAACCAGCATACGAATCTTCCGAGTCATCGGTCATTTCGTACATCAAGTAAGCGTTTTCTATAACACTAATATAAACTCGACAATGGTAAAGGCTTCTATAACATTGATTTGACTGGATATGTTTAGATATCTAACGAAGAGAAGTGATGGTCTAACTCTTGATTCAGAAGTAAGCCGCTTTTGAATTTTCAATTATTCAACTTCTTGAGTTATAACTTTGTAAAATTGCTCTAAGTAGACGAATGCGATGTCTAAGAAAATTTCTCTTGGTACTTCGCATTCTATGAAAAACTAATAATAACTTTGAACTGGTTCATGCCGGAATCCCTTCCCATGTTTTCCAATGTAATTCATTTGGCACTCGTTGACAGGTTTTCTGAAGAATTTTGCAGTTTTATTCACTAAAAAAAGTAAAACAAAGAAAATTTCAGATGACACTTTGGTATGTGGTTCAGTTAGCCGTATTTGGTGCGATGGCATTCGCCGATCCATCGGTACTCGTTGCAATTCTGTCCATTCTAAGTGAGTCGCAATCTGTTTACGTGTTTCCTTTCACTGGACAATTCGTCTTATCCATTTTGGATAATTTTCAAGTTTTTGGCGAGGAAACTATTGCTTGAGTTAATTTGAGTGCAACATCGTTGAATGGTGAACTATACAAATGGTGGAAAAACGATAAGGGCACGCGCAGCGTAGTGGCTGGAGGTGCTCTCCTGCAGCACGTGGTCGATGATTCAATCCAAATTTCATGCTTCACCAACACTTCCAACTTCCTGGAGTCGACGAGTTGGTACCACATTTGTTAGGATAGCAACAGTGACCTGATACGTAGATCATTGCAAGTAATACCAGATTCATATTCCACCTCCAACGAATGATGTTTGGTGCAATCGACGGCATGGCCCATCCTTCAAGGATTGCTCCATGCCAAGAGTTTTTCCTCCATCGTTTCAGAATGGGTGCAACGTAGCAGAAGCAGTTCAGCGATTATGTCGAGTTGTTGAAGTTGTTCACGCCACGCGGGACTTTTATTAGCTGCTTCTGTGCCGAACTCCTCATCTTGAACTATCGCTTATCTTTATCATAACAGTATAGCAATGGGTTATATAGGGAGATTACAATTAGCGAAGACAACAGAAAAGGAGGTCGAAGAGATAGTTGAAGAAGAAGCAAGTCGAGTTGGAAGCCTTGAATTAATCTTTGACCATTTATGTATAATATACCAAAGGGCGGGTTTAAGGCAAGATTAAAATAAAGGCAAAGCTAAGTTTGGAGACTCCAGGATGAAATTAGGGCATACGTTCACATTTAGGTCACGTCAAAGATCTAGTACCAAATAAGCTCTAGCTCAAAGTACAAAGAAGTCATTATGTCACGCTAGTCACCAGACTGTTCGAGCACTTACTGTAAAAATGATCCAAAGTGCATCGAAAGTTCAACCGCTTTCGATATACATACATAGACTTACGAAATCAGAATATACGGATTAAGTGTAACATTATAAATAGTGATTATACCAGTGATTAACACTTGAGAAAGGGTAGACAACATTCGTTATATTTAGGGGGAATGTAGTCTACATACAACGTATGAAGTTGATGCTCCCCTAAGTGTACGCTATGAATCTAACTTCGTTAGGGATAATCGGCGTGATAGAGATCTTCCAATGCGTCGTGTCATTATTTCTGGCCTCTCAAAGAAATTTTATACCAGGTTAGCGGTCACGTTTGAGTAAGGGGAAGTGTGATTGAATCAACGTGCAATTGCTGCGTGAGGCACCTCTCACTGCGTTACATGCGCTCACATTAAGTGACTACTTCAACAAAACTAAAATATAACTGGCACTCTCGCAAGCTTTTGATGAAGAAATCCCAATGAATTTCATATTCCATTGGATATTTTACATTTGTTGAATGCAAAGCTACGATCGTAATTGAATACTGATAACTTAGTGGTGCTCTTCCTCATTCTTTTCGTCACAAACGCCGTGCCTTTCATAAACGGTCAAGCCTTCAGCACTCTGAGTCTGATATCCGATTTCAAACGCTTGTATACTATTGAGGTTCGTCTTCGGCTATATCCATACTACCTTTCAAGACAGCTTTTCATTTGTAATTCTTGTAATTATACAAAATCGCTTTCGCCGTTTCAAACCTTTGTATGAATTTCAAATATAAAACAAATGATGATTTCGTAGAAAGAGTCATATAGACGTTAAAAAGAATTACAAAAACTATCTTTCTGGTCAGAAAAATGCTTTTTTTACGTACGCACCCTTTTTTCAAACTCAGTAGTCTACCGTCCAGAACGTTGTGAAATGCGATAAACCTGCACATTTCAGCCATGGATTAGCGCCCTTCGTCTGGCGTTTTCATTATCAGGTTTGGGTGAAGTAGCCATATTCTGTATGTCTTCATTTCGGAACACAAATGGACGTTATTTTACGGTACTCTAGTGAATCTTAATCTGAAATCACATCTAAGTCATATGGGAGAATCAATTTCTATGCAGATATACAAGCGCACAGCAGCACTGCTCCTTATTTCTGTTTTCTTCCGATAAGGTTGAGCTGTGGAGTATACCCATCAGATGCCGTCACGCTTCATTATATATATATATATATACATATATATATATATTATATATATTATATACTATATATTATATATATATTATATATTATTATATATATTATTATATTATTATATTATTATATTATTATATTTATTATATTATATATATTATATATTATATATATATATATTATGCCGTGACGCTTCAATATACATATATATATGAACTTTACAACTCATACTATTATTGCTAACCTAGAATCACTTCATCTACTAATATATATATATATATATTAATATATACAAATATATAAATATGTATGTGCATGTGTATATACATGTTATATATATACGTGTATATGCATATATACATAGGTACATATGCATATATGTATATATATTATTAGATGGAGTGATTCCTGGTTAGCAAGCATTAGTAGAAGTATAATCTTTCAAACAAAAATCTCTCATGCACATTGTGAATCCTCTGTACCAATCGTTTCACAGACAGCAACTTGTGTGATCGCTGGAAAATTAGTAGTGTGCTTCTTCGGATTAGTGGCTTTCTTCTCGAAGTTTGCCGTCCTCTACACACTTGACAAACGCCATAAGACAAGCTTTTCGCCTGAAAACAAAGGTACATCAAGTTGGTGGATATTTTATAGATTGAATCTAACAAGCGCTCTTTGAAGATTTGATCCATTTTCCTGCATTTGTTGCCGATGTGTATAGTTTCTACAGCGAATTTCCAAATCGGATATTTGATAATGCCGAATTTGTGTTCATATACAACGCAGTCACTTCATTAGGTAAGCTTTTTTCAGAACACACAGAACATGTGATAAAAGCACATTGTCGTTGGCAGGGCACCAGAAACTGCATACAGGGGATCGCCTTTGGTTGAAAGATACGGATCATTTGCATAAAGGTTTCTTTGCTCATGCCTAACCACTACTCAAATCAGTTTTCGATGGCAAAATTCACATTATTTCAGAGGTTTTCCACCAAATGTTACTTAAGGGCAGATAGGCTAAATATGAATTCTTTTCTGTCAGACGGAAACAGATGAAGAAATGACTCCTTCGCTGGATAAGACTTTTTCACAAGAGAATTTGCAATCATTGAAAGCTTAAATTTCTGCATACTGCGCTACGTGCCTCTTTTTTTTGAAAAGGTCTTTTTCATAGGATTGTAGCAAAAAGAAAATTCATGTTTTTTACACACTCATATTTCTCGCAATGCAGAACTCTTCCTGAAATGATAGTAGCCATTCGGCAATGTAAGTTTCGACGATCTCAAGCTGTGCTTCTTTTGAAACGACCGTTTCACTACAGTATAAAGGAAAATTAAGATCAAGTTCCACAATGCGGTGCATTTGTTTGTCGGTTAGCGTGTAGACTGGGTGTCGACTGGCTGTGGATCCTATATGACGACCAGTCCATCACGCTGGCTTGACTCACATGTGGAGTGCAATTTTTGTTATTA